GTTATTGCTTTTGATTGAACTCTTCAAATCCTTTCGTGATAAACAGAATTTCCATGCTGTTAGTAGACCAAAAAGTAGAAATGGGAAATATATTCAGTTGTGAGCCAGAAGTCTGAGGGACTCCTGACATGTGAGAACACGTAAGAAGTGTCGTTATTAGTAGCCCTGGGATATGGTGCCCAGTTCTTATCTGGAGACAAGGTGTGACTGTTAAACTGGGCTGTCTATCAACTTGATTGGCTTAGGAGCTCTCAAGGGACTGGAGAAGCAAACCTCCTGGAGTGTATGAGTGGGTTGTAGAGATGTGACCTGGATGTTTTACCTGATCCCTGGTCCCTAGCACTGTTCCCCTACTCTTCTTCTCAGCCATCATGAACAAGCGTCTTTGCTCTGCCATGCCTTTCTGTCCTAATCTTTCTGCCTCAGAGCCCACTAACCCTGGACTAAACCCTCTGCAGCAATGAGCCAAAATAAACCTCTCTTTCTTTAAATTGTGGGTGTCAACGAATGGTATAGCATCACGGAAACTGAGGTTTTCGGCAAGATCGATGCCCAGCCACCCTTGACTGAGTGAAAGTCCATGTGCTGCTGTCTGATCTGAAAACATTTTTAAAAAGCAAATGGGACAGGGGCTGGGCATTTAGCTCAGTGGTGTCACCACCTGCCTTGCAAGCATAAGGTCCTGAGTTCTATCCCTGGTACTAAACAAACAAACGATCAAACACAAATGGGACAGACAACAGAAAGCCTTACCCACATCAAATATAAGCGATGCAACATGTACTTCACATTTTTACTTTGAATACCCTAGATTTACATGTATGACTGCTTTTTCATTAAATAAAAATATTTTAATTTGGTGTAATGGCGCACACTGGTACTCCCAACATGGAGGCTGAGGCAGGAGGGTTGCAAGTTGGAATCCAGCCTGGATAACTTAATGAGACATTGTCTCAAAAAACTAAAAATTAAAAAGGGCTGAGAGCTGGGTATGGTGGCGCACACCTGTAATCCCAGCACTTGGGAGGCTGAGGTGGGAGTATCTCTTTGAGTTCAAGACCAGCCTGGGCTACATAGTGAGCTCCAGGTCAGTCTCAACTACATAGTGAGACCCTGTCTCAAAAAACCAAAAAAAGGGGGTGGGGGACTGGGAGTATGCCTCAGTACAGAAGCATTTGCTTCACATATGCATGACCCTGAGTTCAACTCCTAGAGACACAAAACTATAAAAACAAAAATTTTGTGTTATCAAATAATATAATTACCTAATAATAATAATAACTAGTAATAGTAAATTGACATATTCCCTTTACCACATAAATTTCCTAAGTAGGGAATGCTGGCTGAGATGGAGAAGTCAAAATGCATAAAGGGTGAGTGTAAGATTAAAAGATCGTATGCCTCTTGCTTCCCATTACCTCATCACTGCGCTTGAAAAGAGCAAATGAGCTTTTAAGAATCAGGAGCATCCTTTCATGTGCTGCATGAGGTAGAGGGGAACGTGTCCCAGAGTGTGCCTCAGTGAGAAAAGAAAGCATGGGGCTGCCTCCCCCACTCACGCTGTTCCATCCAGGTGCATCCCACAGAAACCAGTGGAAAAGGGAAGAGTGAAAAGCTAGACTCCACTCAGCAGCAGCATGAAATAAGCTGGATTTTGCATCTGAAAGCAACAGTGACCAACTGTCCCAGTTTGCTCCTGTGAGGGGAAATCCCAGGACACAGGACTTTCATTTTTAAAACAAGAACAAGTCTTGGGCAAACAGACAATTGGTCATCCTGCTAACCCAAAATCTAGACCCTTCACCAAGGAAGTCTTGTAAGTTCCAGGTGTTAAAAGGTGGCTGCACCTTGCAAACACCCAGAGCATGTTTTAAGCAGCTGGAGCTGGTTTCCAACTGATAGAGAATGATTGCATCAGCCTGGCCCTTGGCATTGCTGACAGCTCCCTATATCCCAAGATGATCCTAATATGCAGGACAATTTTGCACCCTCTTAATGAATTTTTCCAAACAATTTAGACTCTCTGAGCCTCAGTTTTGAATTTTGGTTTTCTATTGCATATTCTTTCGTAAAATATTCAAGTATCTACAATTTGAAATGTTCTCATTAGTACAAAGGAATCAGTCGCCTGAGGATCTCATTAAAGTGAAGGGTTCTGATTCACTACCTCTGGGAGGAAGCTTGAGAATTTGCATTTCTACAAGCTCCCAGGTGACAGTGAGACTCCTGGCCCCTGGACTACACATTCAGTAGTGGAAGAGAACATTGAAGAATGAAAACGATTGCTCAGAATAACTTCCTCTTTCCTTTAGAGATCAGTGGACACATCAAGTTTCATTAAGGGAAACAAGAAGGCATGTAGGTGGAGACACAATGAGTATAAACCTCAGCTCTTCCTGGAATTTTGAACCCTCAACCCTACTTTCAAGTTTGAGTCCAACTCTAGAATCCAGAGTTTACAGGTGGATTGGGAGAGGCCCATTGACCCATCATCCTTTTCCCAGCAGCTCACCCACAGATGGGGTAGGCGACTCCCCAGAGGACAGAAGGGGAGCACCCCCTCTCTTCCCTCTCCTCCCCCTTCCTTAGTCCACAGCCCATGAGAATCTCATTTCTTCTCTGCCTGTGGTTCTTCAAAGCTTTCTGTGTATATCTCTATGAATTCACTAAATTCTCCCAAAGTTTTAAGCTTTTGAAAGCAAAGCTCAGACAAACATGTAAGTTATTTATACTTTCTTCTGGGTCACGTTGCTCCCCTGAGGCTCTGAACTCAGCTGGCACCACAACAGAGGGGGCAAGGAGAGGGCAAGAAAAGGGAACAGGCCAATCCCAGAAGAGAAGAATGTGAGTCCATGTGACAAAATATGGACTTATATAAGTGAGCACAATTAGATATACTATATGTTCCTTTCCTCAAACACCCAAGATGCTATTACTACGTACAAGTATACTACATCCGCCTAGGGTAGAGCTAGAAAAGCACCTGGCTCTTTGAGGATATTGGCTGTAAGCTGAAAGGAAATGAAACAACTCAGAGGCAGGAGGTCAGCTTACAGATAAGACAGCGAGAGCTGGAAGCTCAGTGCATCATTTCCAGAAAATAGACTTTCTCTACTGCCAAGAGGGTGGAGCAGATGACCGCTGCTTCCCACCTTACCACAGTGCACATCAGTTAATAGATCCGAGCTCCCCGTGCCCGTGGGTTCCCCACCTGCATCCCTGGGAAGTCCAGAGTGTTCAGAGTTTAAAACATCCGTGCATAGAGCTGTGACAAGGTGCGTTCTGGCTTTTCTGAGCAACTGGGTTCCTTACCATTCCCACATCAGAGATCAGAGACATACACTCCATGTAAACTATAAGCATTTTTCTATGAATTTCAGTTATAATGACTTTGCAGTAACTCTCTAGTAGATTGTAATAAAACCCAGTTTTATTAGAAGCAGTCTAAGGCATGAATTTACTGCATTAAAAAGTCTTTTGAGAAGAAATGTATAGAAAAATGTTAGAAAAAAAGGAAAAATGTTAGAAATCATCAACTGGGGAGCAGAGACGTGGGTACTTTGGTTGTTTTTATACGTTCATCTATATTAATTTTCTAAGAGAATATGTTTTGCTTATATAATTTTTAAAGTAAGGTTTTAATTATTTGAGAAATGTGGGCAATTTGAACTCCTGGCTTAGACTCGAAAGCGTAAGAGTTGGGACTATTCCATCTACTAACAGGCTCCAGAGAAAATGCCACCCTCACTGAATCAGCATTAGATATTGTTAGGGGTGGATTTTGTGCTATAGGATTGGCTGCCTGTAGGCCATGTGCTAGAGGATTGGCTGCCAGCCTGAGATGCTAAGGTGAAGTGGAGTAACCATTAGGTGATGGACCCTCAGGGATGAGGCCCCGGGGGTGTGCCCTTGAGGGGTTATAAGGATATCAGTCCCTCTTCCTCACTAGTATTCCTGCTGCCAGGAGTGGAGCAGCCTCCTCTACCATGGAGTCCCTTCCATGATGTCCCTGCTCACCACAGGCCCTGAAACAACACTCCTAAGTGACCACAGACTGAAACCTGTGAAACATTAAGCCAAAAGAAATCTTTCCCACTTAAAGTTTGAGTTCTGCCATGCATGTTGTCACAGCAATAGAAATCTGACTGATATACATACCATGAACAATAAATGCAATAATAGTAATACTAATAACACCAGGTACTTTTTATGTACTTTGCTGTGTGTGACCATAGTTGTATTTAAGAACTGTTGAGGGTTTGTTTTCTCTCATTTTGTTTTATTTTTGTGGTACTAAAAATAAAACTCAGGGCCTTCATACTGAGTTGTATCCCCAGCTCTTCTCCCTCCCTCCCTCTCTCTCTCTCTCTCTCTGGATTTCACTAAGTTGCTAAGTTATCCAGTCTAGGCTTAAACTTGTGATCCTCCTGCCTGAGCCTCTCAGAGTGCTGGAATTACAGACCAGGGCCACAATACCCAGCTTCCTTCCTCATTCTTACAATGTTAGTGCAATGAAGTTCTCAGTTGTCCTGATCTTTTTTCCAGGGTATTGAACACTCCGCTTCTCTGTTTTTGATCCAGAACAAATGGGGATTAAAGCCTTTCCTTTCTTTTCTTTTTTTTTTTTTTTTTTTTTTTTTTTTTTTTAT